AGATTCAATATAAAAAAGAAAAAGAAAAAAGAAACTCAAGGAATGGAGGAGGATTTGAGACAAGCAAAGGAATCTACAAAGTTTGAAGAGGAAAGAATAAACCTACAGTCTTCTCAATGAGTTCAATGCAGGGCTGCAGGTCAAGGCCGAAGTCAATGAAGCTCCATTCTATGCCTTCACGCTGGTACTCCTCCTGCTCCAGGATGAACATGGTGTGGTTGAACAGCTGCTGAAGCTTCTCGTTGGTGTAGTTGATGCAGAGCTGCTCAAATGAGTTCAGCTACAGAGAGAGAAAGAATTTGAAATCAAAATGGTCCATTAGAATGGAGGCACTCAAAAATAAAACATCTGGGAAATTCAAATTTTTCCACAACCCTTTCACACCTCAAAGATCTCAAATCCAGCGATATCCAGTATTCCGATGAAAGAAGCTCCCTGGCGCTTGGTCTTGTCTAAAGCTTTGTTGATGCGCATAACCAACCAGCGAAATAGTCTCTCATAAGTGGCTTTGGCCAAAGCCTCCACTGCAAACTCAGCCTGCTCTTGAGTCTGAGCCTTCTGAACGTAATCACGACCCACTTTGATGCATGGCGTGAGAATAGCACGTGTGAAATCGGTCACATTCATGCCCAAGAGGTGACTCACCTTCTGGGCAGCTGATAAATGAGAAAATGAACATTTAAAACTCAGAAAAAATGATTGATTTCACTCTAGAATAAACATTAAGTATAACATGTAAGAATAAACCAAGCTGGGATTCATTTGTAGTGCATGTTAATAAAGAAAGTGGAACCTGTGTCATCGGGCATGGAGGCTTGGTCAGAGTTGCGTTCCTTTTTAAAACTCATGTTTCCCAACTGCAGTACAGCAGATACTACCTTCAAAAGACCTGGGACATGATAACAGAACACATTACATTTCCTCAAACCAAAACGCCACCTCTCAGAAAAACAAACACCAAACTTCAAGTTCATTCAATATAATAAGAACAGCTACAAAGTATAGTTCAACACAGGCCATCATGAGAAACTGGCAAGCTTTCCTGATTCATGAAAGATGCCACACCTTTAAGGCGATTAAACACACTGCAGAAGAAATACTGATGAATGAGTGTCTTGTTTGAATCTCTATACCTGTCTGCTCCTCCTCAGGGATGCCCATAATCCTGAAGGAATCTATGGTTTCAGCAAACAATTCTTTATCCTGTTGTCCAGGGATTGTAACATTCCCATTTGACAGGAATCGGTACTTATTGTAGTCCTCTAGGCACAGCTCAGCTGTAGAGTGGAGAATAGACTTTAGAAACTTTTCACAGAGATTAGTCCTAGAGTATACTACACTGTCTCATGGGTATTCAGTGTTAAAGTTAAAGGGGTCATATGATGCGATTTCAAGTTTTCCTTTCTCTTTGGAGTGTTACAAGCTGTTCGTGAATAGATAAGATCCCTGAAGTTGCAAAGACTAAAGTCTCAAACCCAAAGAGATATTCTTTATCAAAGTTAAGACTCTGCCACACCCCCCTAAAACGGCTCGTTCTAACACGCCCCCACATATCTAGGTTACTATGTGGGAATATTTGCATAATGCGCCCAAATGTGCACGCAAAGAAAGAAGGCGTGGTTTCAGTAACCGCAGTTAGTGTTGATGCAGCCATGTCAGAGAGACGCTGTGTGTTTCTAGGCGAAAGCAAAAGCACTTTATTTGGCCTTCCGAAAGTAGATGCATTTAGGAATCTTTAAGATGACTTACAACAGAACAGCAATGCATTTTATGGACGACCGTTTCATGAACCTAGGAGAGGAGGTAATTCTGACTTTGCTATGACAATCTGGCGCTTCTGAATCAGCGACTGTAAGTATGTTTTGTTACTAGTTTAAGTATTTGCTATTGACTGTTCAAATGCGGAGTTTTGCGCATCGTGTGCGTGTGTGTGCGCGTGTTGTGCGTAATGTGTTTTTTGAACATTAAAGCATGTCAACATATTCTGTTACACCAAATACACAAAATAATGATCTTTAAAAAAGCATCATATGACCCCTTTAAGTAAACTTGGTGTATATTCACAAAACACAGCATCACATTGAGTTGATTCTTGTTCCTTCAAATTATATTAAAAAAAAACAAAACAAAACAACAAAAAAAAACCCTAACATGTATGGCTTTGAAGAATTTATAGCTTGAATTTGTTAATGGCATGAAATGGTTCTCACCACGCAATTTGTCTCCTGCTCCCGACAACAAGTAATAAAAAACATGGAAGGTCCGTTCATCTTTGGCCTGTCTGATTGCACGAGACTTCTCCAACAGATCTGAAAAATGCTTGTTAGGGGATTAACAGAATAAGATGAATACATTCTGCATGAGAACAATGAAATATAAATTGTTAGCTTGTTAATATTTTAGTTTCCTAAATGTTTCAGTCAAAGGATACAGGTCTCAATATTGGCTCCAACGATGTAACCGTTGACATCAAAGTTTATCCTGATAAACTTTCCCTGTGAATGAATAGCTTTTATTGATTCATGTCAACATTTAAGACCTTGGGACCTTTTAGGAGGAGTCAAGGGTGATTTTTGTCTGTGCACACTTACAAATCGAGAAGAATTGTCGTTTTTCACAGTCTTGGCATTGCCAAAGGCCTCCAGAATTGGGTTAGCCTGGAGCAACTGTTTCTCCAACTCCCCCTGGCAGACAAATTGATTAGATGGAATTAAGAGCACATTTAAAGTTACAACAGCAGGAACTGTTAGTGACTAGTGAAACAAAGACTACATATCCTGAAACAAAGTTCCCAAACCATCAACACACCGTAGACCCAGATCACATATTTGCAAATGAAAGTTTTGCTTGAGGCTCAAAACTGATGCTCATTTTTGCTTCTTCCACTACGTTTATAATGTTAAAAACCATTTGTGCATTAAACTTTGTTCCACACCAGTGTTAGAATTTGCATTAGCTGAAGCTGTTAGGAGACTTTGCAACATAACATAACATAACATATAATCAAGCCTGTAGACAACCATGATCAAATGACCAGCAAAGAGGGGTGTGTATACAGCCAAAAAAAAAGTAATGGATGGTATGGTTGGACAGAGAGAGGAATGGGGAAGGCATATAACTCACATGTGACAGGTTGACACTGCTCTGGAGGATGAAAAAAAAGAGAAAGTCTCAAAATATGGGCACAAAATGAAGGGACACTCAAACATGCTCAACCGTATGGCACAACAGTATGTTTGTAGCGTTTTTTTAAAGGGTTTAGTGTATTATCAACCATAAACAAATATGCAGGTATTCACAAAGTCATTAGAAATCCAGTGGGAATAGGTCTAGGCCTGATACAGGAAATGTGAAAACACAGAATTTTGACTTCCTGGTCCAGAGAGAGGACAGAGAGAATGACAGAAGGTTCAAATCCATAAAGAAAAACTGAGAAAGACTTTTGACAGGAAAAATGGAGGATGAAAAACAGGAAGAGATAAAACTGATATCAATAAAACATTTGTCATGAAGGGGGCTGGAGACAATAGCTGATGTTAAAAATGGATGTGGTTATTTATGAACAGCTCTGTCATGACAATCAGCACTCGTCTTATCTGTCGGCTGTTTACGCAAATGAACATTTGCTCGTGAATGACTGGTTTCCATGACAACTTAGTGGGGAAAAAAGGGGGTTTTATACGCACTTGATCTTTCTTTGTTTTGAAGGAGGACGCTACAAATGCAAGGTACTGAATGACTTTTTTGGTGTTTTCTGTTTTTCCAGCACCAGATTCACCCCTGGGGAAATATTAATAAAGAATAAGTTTTGAAGGAACACAGTGCTGGTCATTTTGATTTTGGTACTAGTATTTCAGAAGTTCCAAGTCAAGCTTACGTGCACAATATGGACTGATCCTCACGATCTAAAAAGATAAAGAAAAAAAAAAAAAGAAAAAAAAAAAAAAAATTAACAGCACCCTATCACATGAACAGGAGTGCCATTTTGGCATGAATAGTGGTATCAGTCATGCAGTTAGTGTTCTCACCCTGCATCATGCTCCTGTAGGCCGTGTCTGTGATGGCATAGATATGAGGGGGCATCTCATGCCTCTTTTTGCCCTTGTACATCTCGACGATCTCTTCCGTGTAGATAGGCAGATGCTTATATGGGTTTATTACCACACAGAAGAGCCCAGAGTATGTCTGAAACAATGATTTACACATGCCAATCGTCATAAAGTGTTTTAAGCAGATTGACTAAACGCTTAAAAATAACAAATCACCCAACATTAGATGACTCTCTGTGAGTAATGAAACAACATGAAACAATTGTTTAGTTTTCTGCATAGTCAGCATGTTCATTTGTTAACCTGCCAGTACATGCACAATATCGGAACTTGAACACCACAAACATGCACAGTTCAGACAGACTTACATAGATGAGCCCCGAGTAGTACCTCTCCCTCAGGTTGTGCAGAACAGAGGCTTCATTCAGGCAGGTGAGCTCCGCCATATCCTCCACCTTGCTGAACTTGGGTGGGTTCATCTTCTGGATGTCATCTTTGTTCACCCTGATCTTCTTGCCAGAGTCGACCAGCTCCACAAGACACTCATCTCCAGTCTCCTCTTTGACGGAGCCAGCCTCAAAGCCAAGCTTCTCTGAGGGAACCCACACCAGCTTCTTAGAGGCCCAGTCCGCCTGGGCCAAAGGGTCATTGATAGTATTGCGGTCGGCATAGAGGAACTTCTCTGCGTCTGACATTTTGGCTACATGTGAGAGAAAGTGAAAGCATTTATGTTTGTGGTTTTAAAATATTAAAGTTCCGCAGGATAACCCAAATAAAATGACAAATGTGGAGAAAAAAAAAAATAAAATTGTACACAAACATCTACATTGTGACTCGTTCAAGCATCTGACTCCAGTATGTGTCATTATTGTCCTATAAAACATGACAACCACACCTGCTCAGGCTTCTGACTCTTTTGCTTCCAATTGTTCTTTCCTTTCCCGATTTATTCCATACAGAGTCAAATTTTTTTAACAACCTGTAATTATAGGAATTCCGTAAATTCCCACACTCAAATTAGAACCCCAACAATCAGTTTTAAAAATTCATATTACCAAATACAAGTGCTTGGTAATGTCTTCTTTTGTGGCTAGAAACCAAGTCTGACTAACCTGGAAAGTGGCAAAATACAAACAGTAACTTGGTGTGCGCGCACATGTTAAACATTTTCATGCAGAAATCATGATTTAGCAAAAGTTCTCATTTCCATTTATTCTTCGTTTAGGACAAAATTTAGAACCAATTAAAACACCACATTTTAAAAAGTCTAAGATTTCCAAAACTTTTATATTTTTATAATTCATATATTTATCATTTTAATTTTATAGTATAATGTTATATCATGTTAGTATCGTATGAATTCTGAAAAATTATGCGTGCACCGTGCAGAATTGTGGCAAGAATGAAATTATTTTTAAATGAGACCCACTGTTTCCATGACATTTATGGTGTCAGGCCTACATTTAGCTAGTGAATTAATTCATTTGTTTGCATTGCCATACCAGCATCTATGGCTATTTTCATGGCAAGATCAATGTAACTTAAGAGACAAATAGCAGTATACAGCAGTAAAGCAAAATGCTAGTGTGCAATAAAACAGACTTTGAAAATGCATTCCTTAGTTCGTGACGCGTCGCACCTTAAGGCACTTTTAGTGAGGGTCTTCCAAACACCTACTGTGTGCTGATGCAAACATACACAAGACACAAGCTCCTATTACTTTGAAGTGGAGAAACATCTGCTCTGAAGGAGTAATTCCTAAACAAGTTTGGACAAAGACAATTTCATTATCCGCCACACCTTTCAGAAGGCTCCAGAACTCTGAAATTAAGGATAACACCTTTATTTCTGTAAAAAAGTGCAAAAATGTAACCTAATATGGCTTAAACCGCTTACAGCGCTATGCATGTTCAGAAATGTTTAATCACAAGAGCCCAGTTAAAAAATATTCAGAGGGCAAATAAGAAACATCTGATGAGTTTGATAAATTATGCAAAGTTCCTCTTTAAAGAAACATAGCCTATGCTGTCAGAGTCTAAATGGATAAATTCTAATATGCATAATATGAACATCAGAGCAATGTTACTTCAACAAAAGGATCCATTTAGAAGCAAAAGGCTGTAAAATATCTAGAAGTAGGCATGCCTAACTGCACAAATTACTGGACGTCAGTTCAGTTCCACTCAAAATGGTCAATGTCTGCCATTTTGGGGTGTGTCTATAGTACATGGTTAATAACGTCACATGAATACAGTATTTCAGTATCTGAACAGACTTTTGGGGAGTATATTTTTCTCTAATTCTGAGGATGGTGTTAAAATATACTAGTAATATATATTACCAGTAATGCATATTACTGTAAAATTTGCAGCCAGTTACCACTAAAAGTTCTATGAATTAAAAAATGTTTTTTTTTAAACAAAATCACGAACAACTGTGCACCACACCTCTAATATTGACAATTATAAAAGAGTTTATTGCAATTCACAACTGCCATTTGTAATACGGTTACTGAATAAATAACAGATAAAATTAAAATATATAAATAAGGAAAACAAGGAATAGGACTTAAAGAAGAAAAAAAAACACTAAGTGGGATTTCACCCTGGTAACTCAAGGCGAGTCATATGGCAGTGTCCTACATAGATCCATCTCTCAGGGGCAAGGAAAAGAGAGGCTTCTGGGATTCAAAGTTCTCTGCCTATTCAAACATTGAGTATACTTACTGATAGCAACCTCTACACTCATTTCAATCTGACAATTTCTAACCAGACTGATAGAAAGCCAGACAGCCAGAGTGGGAAAAAGGTGCTAAGTGATGTGCAGTGATACCATTAATGGCACTCAAGAGCATCAGAGAGGTATATCTTGAAATTGAAAAGAGATGACAACAGCACAGCTTTAGTGTACTGTTGAGATGGAGCGAGTGTAAGAGGGATAAGGAGATTAGCAGGGTGTCATCTCTGTCTGCAAGTTCATTAACGGCTCAAATACAGTCGCTGTGATTAAATGCAGATGACAGTGTGTGCCCGTGCACATGACATGCACCTCTGTTGGGTTGTCCCACGATGGTTTCTCATCCGATTATACAAGAACAAAAAAAAGGAACAAACTATGAGTGAAGTATAGAACAAGTGAGTGACAAAAAGAGTTGTTGGACAATCGTGGTTTAGCAATGAGGAACAAACAGCCACCCATGACAGAACAAAACAGTGAACTTGATACTGAAAAGTTGCTTCACTGCACTGAAACACTTCCTCTAGCTTGAAGCCTTAATGCAAGACCTTAGAAGGCAACATGTTAGAGCTTGCTGTCTGAATTTAAAACTTGTAACAGAAGAACTGCAGAAAACAGCCTGAATTTGCATTTAATTGTGTTTATAATACTTCAGTCTACAGTTTAAGTGTAGAAATTCAAACCTGGTTATATCTGGCCATCAGGGCCAAACACAAGACTTGGTAAAATATCCTTCATATTTCACCCTGGAATCTAAATAAATACGCATTTATATATAGTATTTCTCATATGTATTTTATATTTCATGTGAAATACCCTTTTACATTTAAATTTCATGCCTTTAAATGCCAATTGAATGCAAGTAAAAGCATTGCATTTTTTTTTTTAATGTACAAAAAGTAGTCTCAGTAGGCTGAAATATGATAAGATTAAGCTCAATATTAGCTTTACACATCAGAACTAATTTGTAAATTATTTTTGAAGAGGGTAATGTGGGACGTTTTAAAGGGTGCGAGTCTGTCCTGCCGTCACAGTAGTCACCTGCAGTGCCATGCCTTACTTTATCCCTCCATCAGCACGTTCGCTCATCCCACTGATCTTGGCTTATGTTCAATCCTTGCTTATAGTTCAAATGCCAACAGCTCTGAGATGAAGTCAACAACAGCAACACAGGAGACACCAATGCTTACAGTGACCATTTTATGCAGGGCAAATTGAATCAATTCTAATGCAAAAGACTTCACAAAGAAATGAAGACATTCATGCAACTTTGTAACTAGCATTGTGACATAAGAGTTAAGGCATCTTGTTCAGAGTCTGATCTGAATGTGTCTCCTCAGGGCTGAGCAATTCAGGTCGTTTCTACCACACACACACACACACACACACACACACACACACACACACACACACACACACACACAGACAGACAAACATA